GTGTGCTAAGAGGGGGGGGGTCATCGGATTCAGTTCTAGTCATGCCCGTACGCGGGGGGGGGGCAAGTTGGGGGACGATAAAAGAACTATTCTTAGGGGGGGGGTCCACACAAAACACAAAACGCCCGAACACCCAACGCTTGGGACGGTATCCGTGTGCTGTGCAAAGATCCCTTGATCCGAGTGTTTCTCAACGCTTGGGTCCGGTGGAGACCTGTCAGGGGACGGATGTATTTCTAGATCTTTATATACACGCCCGGTTAGCTGAGTCGGTTAGAGCATCAGACTGATAATCCGAGGGTCACCAGTTCAAGCCTAGTCCTGCGTAACACTCCTCAGGCGTCAAACACCTTTGACGGGCTCACTCTCCGGAATGACGTCGTTATGAACCGACGACGATAAAGATCGAGCGGAATAAATTATAAATATAAATAATTTAAAAAAGCACCTGACGGGTGCGCGGCAGATCTCGCCGCTGCGCCTGCGCTCTCGCCCGTCTGCTTCTGCGCGATGGCCGTGCGGACGAATCCGGGTTCGACGATGGAAACACTGATCTGCCACGGGGCAAGCTGATTATAGTAATAAATATAATAAATATGAATACTAAAAATAATATGATCAAAATCATTTCAATGTCGCTATATAGTATGGCGACGAGCCCTCCTTCCAGCACTGCGCGCGAGCGCGGGCGCCCGCAACTCGGCCGCAAGGCCACACGCGGGTATGGCGGGATGTGGAGGGGGACAAGCACGGCTGACAATGCCGTGCCGCGCGCGCCGCCATCGGCGTGCATGACCGCGGCCGACAAGGCCGGGGTGGAGCTTTTCGTCCCAATGGTGCGCTGCTGCGCTCCCGGGCAGGGCGTGCAGTTGGAGCCGCGGTGGTCGGCGGAAGGCTGGGGGTACGCCGCGTGGCGCAACGTCGAGCAGCGCGCGCCGCGGGGTCGGTACCCGGGTGCGTGCAGCGAGGCTGCGGCGGGCGACGGGTGGGAGGCGCGGCTGGAGGCAATCTAGGGCTGGCTCGAGACGGTTCTTCCGTCCGACGTCGACTTCAAGATTGTGCCGTGGTTCGCGAGAGGGGGGCGCGTGATGTTCGTGCTCACCGCCCGCGTGGCCATCGCGCCGCTGCGGCAGCGGGCGGCGGGTGGCAAGAGCCACGGGGGGGCGGCGGGTGGTAAGAGCCACGGTGGCAGGGCTTCACGCGCGCGCCGGGCAGCGGAGCGCGCAGCGAAGCGCGCAGCGGCGCCCGCGCCCGCTGGCGCGCCCGCTGACGCGAGGACCGAGGAGCTGATGGTGCCATCTCCCGTGGCGGACGCGACAATAGGTGTGGCAGCGGCTCCGGCCGCTGCCACTCCCGCTGACGCGCCCGCTGCCGAGGTTGCGCGTTTGTCGCAGACATCGCAGGTTTCGCCGCCGTCGCTGCCGCTGCTCGCTCTCTTTCACGCCGTGAGCAAGTTAATCCCAGAGCTCATCCCCGGGGCGGTCCATGTGGCCGGGATCCTGGCAAATTGGGTTAGCAAGCCCGGCAAACGCTCGAGATCGAGTGATGAGAGCAGCAGTGGTGACGACGACGGAAACAAAAAGAAACTGGCGGGCCTGACGCGGTGACGGCAACTCTGGCGAGGACTTGGGCACGTTCGGCAACTCAACGGATGTAATTTTTGTCAGTGATGGCCCTTCAGCGGTTTCGGCCGTTGGAGGTACCTACTGGCACGGAGGATTCACCTCTCAGAGTAAGTGACGTCGTTATGAACCGACGATGAGAGTCGAGCGGAATAAATTACATTATTCTTATATTTATCTCATAATCATTAGTACCAGTATGAGTGAGCCTCGTATCTGCGTGTTGGCTAGAACAGGACCTGCGGATTAGGATCGGAGCTAAATTATGGTCTAGTTAAAAAAAAAAAAAAAAAAAAGGTTTAGTTTTAGTTTTAGAGGTTACCTCGAGCCGCAGTGCGTCTGCAGTCGCCTCGAGCGCAAACTTGGAGCCGGAGTAGGCAGCAGAGCCCTTCTGCGCGACCAGGCCCGCGAGCGAGGAGATGAAGACGACCCGCCCCGCTGACTCGCGCATCAGCGGGAGGAAGGCCTGGGGGGGGGGTTCATCAGATTCGATTCTAGTCATCCACACAACACACCCAACGCACAAACATACCCACACTCACAGCACACCCAGCACACAACACCCGCCACAAAACGCCCCAACCCACTCAACATCTAACATCCACCTTCGTGGCGCGAATAGCGCCGAAGAGGTTTACGTCGTAGAGGCCACGGATAGACTCGAGCGAGTCGAGCTCAAGCGGCATTCGGTGAGAGATTCCCGCGTTGTTGACAAGCCCCGCTAGTTGCAGCCCCTCCGCTCTCATTGCGGCTGACACCGCTGCCACGGCCGCGTCCGTCTGCTCCGCCGAGGTCACGTCCCAGAGGATGGTACGGATCGACGGGCGCGCAGCGAGCAGCGATTCGGCCGCCTCGCGCGAACGCACGCCGGCAAACACCGTCATCCCACCCGCGTCGAGCGCAAGCGCTGCGTGACGCCCGATACCCGAGGATGCTCCGGTGATCACTACGACCCCCTTCAGGTGCACTGGGAACCTGTCGTGCGCGGGCAGCCTCGGACGAGGGTCAGCCTTGAGCGGCGGTTTCGCGCGGTTACGCGCGGCAAGAGAAGAAGGGAAGCCCCAGATTGAGGCGCTCACTCGATGGACGTGAACTGCTCTATCCACAGCGGCACGTGGAAGACGAGCGCGGGGATCGGCAGGAGCATGAGCAGGAAGCGTCCCCAGTGCGCCATCGGGCCAGCGCGCTCAGCTGCTGACACTTGGGGCCTCCTGGTGCTCGGAGACTGCGCCCCAGGCGGTAGAAGGGGCATCATAACGAACGTGAACCGATTTTTTTTAAACTACGACTTACTTACATTAGAAAGGGGCAGCCAGCAGGCAGTGGGTTGCAGACATTCTATCTCAGAAGTGGTCGACTCCACGCGTGTAGGCGCGACGACGTTCAGTCACCCAGGCGGCATGTAGTCACCCAGGCGGCATACTTAGGCGCCGATCCCAAACCGTGTCTCCCTGCGGAGGTGGTACGCGCCCTCAGCCCACTCGTCGGGGTTGCCGTCGTCGTCGCTGTCAGTGCGTGTGCCACCGCCGTTGCCGGTGCCGGTGCGCTCCAATCGCGCGCGCGCAATGATGACTTTGGCGTGCCCTCGAAGTGCGCACATGCCGATCTCCTGTCTCATCTTCCACAGGAGGGTGCTGTGCGCTTGCGCAGCGGAGGAGGCCCCCATGCGAGCTTGGAGCGCTCTTGCGCCCATGCTGGCGAGGTCCCCGACGAAGGATTCCAGGTGGTCAGACCACTCGCCGAAGGCTCCAATCACGAGGGCGGCGAACGCGGGGCTACCTGCAGTGCAGAAGGTCTGTGCGCGGGCCTGCATCGGGCCAGTCTGTCCGGGGGTCGTGTGGAAGAAGTCGCGATCAGTCTTGATGAGCTCCGCCATACGTTCTACCGGAAGCGAGTCAGCTCGCCTGCTCACAGCACGCCCAGGGTAGTTGCCATCGGTGTCCCTGTACCGAGTCCTGCAGAACGCCATGGTCTTGAGTTCAAGCAGTCGCGGGACCGCCCGCCCACCCTCGTGGTCGTACTCGGCGTAGAGGTCGACCTTCGGCCCAGGTCGCCGGCCTACCCCACCGAAGAAGAGCCGGTACGCGGCCTGGTTGGAGGCGAGTACCGAGGCGAAGATGCCTCCCACCTCGGTGCGCGCGTGCGCACCCATTCTCCTCGCAACTTCAGCCAGGAGGGCGAGGAGCGGATCGTGCCTGAGCTTGGAGATGTGGTCGCCGGTGACACTCTGCCCGGAGGCCGCGACAATGTTGTCTCCGTGCACGTCGATGTCGCGGTTGAACAACCGCGCGCCGCGCGCGGCTAGGCCGACGCAGATGGGACTCGGGACGCCGAAGAAGCGTGCTGTGATCTCCACCCACTCGCCGATGGTGCAGGCTCCGTAGTCAATCGGAAGCGCGGCCACCCAGGCAGAGCTGTTGCGGTCGATGCTCCTAACCAAGTGCACGACGCGATCGCCCCGCGGGAGCGCGTTGATCCGCATCTTGAGCGCGTCAAACCGCTGAGCCTCGTGGTCCTCGGTGAGGTCCTTCTGCATGTTGAGGCTTGGCTTGCCTGTGAGATTCCTGCGCACCATCGGCCAGGCCTCCTCTGGGGGGAGGTGTAGCACACGGGTTGGCAGGTCTGCGTTGATCATCGCTCCAGCACCGACGCCAGCCTCCTGTTGCATCTCGAGCCAGCAGCGGAGGAACGCCTGTCCCTGCCGTGGTGGCGGTAGCGGTCTGGGGAGGCCTGGTCGCGGCAAGTGCAGGTATGACCGCCAGCCATGCACGCGCATGTCCAGGAAGGAGTTCCGTCCTACTACGAGCGCGACTTGCGGCAGCTCGAGCATGCCGCGCTGCGTGATGGTGCCGGTCGGCTCGTCCACGATGTCAAGGAAGTTGGGCACTGCCTGGGTCATGGCGCCACAGAAAGCGGCAGGCGCGATGTCGACCATGCGTCGAAGTCCGGCGCCCCGGTAGCGGCGGGGGAGTGCGAGGCGAGCAGTGGCAAGCTGGTCGTCGTCGAGCGAGACTCCCAGTGCGTGTGTCGCCTGCGTGTGGATGATTGCGTCGAAGCGTGTGCACGCGTCGCGCGCCTGGTCCGGGTAGCAGTGGCGGGCAGAGTACTCAAATTTGCGTGCGGTGGAGAAGAGCGTTAGCAGCCAGAGCTGTTGCTTGTGTGACGAGCTGAGCGTTGCGATTAGCTTGTTTGAGATGCTGGCAATCTCGTCACACTTGCCAGCGAGGGCAAGCTTAACGCTAGTTAAGAGCTGGCGGCGATGGACAGCACCGGGGCCACCTCACACGCGTGTGGGGCCCTGTCGATACCGATCAGGTAGGTGTCCCGGTGAGGCGCCTCCAAGCACCGGGTCGTTGCCGCACAATTACAGGGTTTTGCGGGGCGCGCGCTCCCTGGGTGTGGAGGAATCCATACGGTACCAAGGTGAGCGCGCTCAGCTGCCATCGCTCTGTAACTAACAACTCGACTTGAATTGTTTTTTAATTTTTTTAATCGCGATTATTGTATCCAAAAAAATGTCCTCCCTTGAAAGTGTTTTTTTCCTTGGCGCCGCCACGTAAGCACATGAAAAAGGGCGCACAATGCTAGTATTGCGACTGAGCTCAAGCGCCGTCGCTGCTACCGTGCTGCGTGCCACGAGCGGAATACGTACATGTGAGATGACGCAACGCATAACTAAAACATTCAATTAATTAAATAAGGCTGC